TTAATATATATATATACTAGGGCCGGGACTTTAACGCGTTAATTAAGATTAATTAATTACACAAAAATTAACGCGTTAAAAAATTAACGCATTTTAATCGCACTTATTTTTGCACCGCGGAACGTTTCTCACTGGATGAGTTTCAGGGGTACCGATTATACTGGAGCACCAACTAACGTTCATTACTCCAGACAACAACAAACCACAGTGAACAATAGTCAAACATGAACGAAGAAGTTGATGAGACCGCTTTGGTTGGCCCCGTGGATGGGACATTTTGTTTTTAAAAACAGACGGATGGAAGCGTCAATAAGATCACAGTTGTTTGCAAATTATGCAAAAAGGAATTCGCATATCACCGCAGCACATCAAGCCTCAAGTATCACCTCAATGCAAAACATATAGCAGCTAGCGTGGAAGCTAGCGTGGACGTTAGCCCGACTCGTAGTACAAGGACCCACACCCAATTCGGGTTGATCAAACAGTGGCCTATGCAACAGAGAGATTTTATTTTTCATCAGGATATTGGAAGAATAGGAGGGATTGAGGTCAATCACTGGCACTTTTTTATTTTTATTTTAAATGGTACACTTTATGTTGAACTATTTATTATGTTGTTGGTGCAACTGGCACTTTATGTTGAACTGTTTATTGTTTTGGCCAAGGTTATTGAGAGAGTTGGACTGAAATTTATTAATTTTTTAAATCAACTGTTGGTAAATCAACAAAGTCTGTTATGGCCTCTGAAGCAACAGAGAGATGTTTTCTAATAGTCAGGGTTTCCAATGTTCTGAATGTACTTGAAAGTATTGTGTTTTACTTTAAAAAACAAAGTGTTATAGTTTACAGAAGGTCTACCTACCTATAGGCTACCTGAATCTCTGAAATGTACTATATTCCTAAATATGCTATTGTTACACTTTATGGCAAAAATTGCACTTTTCTGTTGGTCTTGGTTAAGTACCACCTTGAAAAAAATGAACAATGTTTTGTTGCTTAAGCTTATGTATTCAGTCATTAATTATTCAATGGTATACTAAAATCCATGTGAAAAAAATTGCTTCTTACTGTTCTCAGGTCAAATATTTATATGTGATTAAAAATGCGATTAATTTCGATTAATTAATTACAAAGCCTCTAATTAATTAGATTAATTGTTTAATTGAGTCCCGGCCCTAGAAATTATACATCCAGTCAATAGTGTACACATTTCATTGAGCAAAATAGATTCTTTATTTTCTTATTCCCCTTCACTTAGGTTGATGATGTCGATTTAGGCAGGGATTGTCTTCTCAAGGGGCTGTGTGTGTACCTCAATGAGAGAGTTTGTGGTCAGTAGAAGTAATATTTGACCTTTTGATTTTTTAGTTGGGCTTTAAAATATGTATTTATTGAAACACCACATAGTATATAGCCTAAACCCTAAAGTATGTGAACATCCCTGTTTTTTGTTTAATAGCCAGACTACACTGAAAAGCTAAGAGGGCTTTTAATTTAA